CAGATTGTTGGGGGCAATATGCTGACTCTCTGTAAACCGCTTAGAGAGGCCTGAAAGGCCTATGAAGCGGTATATAAGTCTACTGCTATTATTCAATGACTCCATCCAGCCACCTCATTCTCGGTTGTCCCCTTCTTCTTTTGCCCTCAGTCTTTCCCAGCATTAGGCCCTTCTCCAGTGAGTCCATCCTTCTCATTAGGTGGCCAAAGTATTTGAGTTTCATCTTCAGGATCTGGCCATCTAAAGAGCAGTCAGGGTTGATCTCCTCTAGGACTGACTGGTTTGATCATTTTGCAGTCCAAGGGACTCGCAGGAGTCTTCTCCAGCACCATAGTTGGTCCAATTTTCACAGCCATACATTGCAATTGGGGAAACCATAGCCTTGACTATACGCACCTTTCTTGGCAGAGTGATATCTCTGCTTTTTAGTATGCTGTCTAGATTTGCCATAGCTTTTCTCCCTGGGAGCAAGCGTCTTTTAATTTCTTGGCTGCAGATATTCAGGTTTCTTGGCCAGAAAGATTGCTTACGAACAAAGCCTAACTCCATGGTGAAGTTTAGTTTGCAACTGTATGTCCCGTCTCTTAAAGCCTACAAGGTTGGGATCTTGGAGATTTCAACCACTGAGCTAATTCACCAACTGAGTCCCCAGGCAAGTTCCCAGCTTCTTTTATAGGCTCTTTATTTATAGATCCTTCCTTGTTCTTGGGTATAAAAAAACAAACCCAAGGATCAACAAAAATACGATGTGCTTCCCCCGCCCATCTGTCCTATTTCCATTAGATATTCACACTTCCTCAGTGTTTTAGGTCTCATCTGTAGACCATCTTGCGTTTTCTTTGTTAAAGACATATCCTTGCAACAGAACCTCCATCTTGCTGCCAACTTCCTGCTGAGACAGGTTGAAGCTGGATTCAAGTGGGAAAACAGGGCTTTGTATGGGAAAATATAATGCAACCTCCTGAGTGAAAATTCTGATTGACCCTAAATGAGGTCAAGAATGGGTAGAGCTCCCACTGGCCCACTGTGGGACCATTCCCTGTCCCTTCTGACCACAGGGCTCTTCTTTTTACCCCATCCCATTTTTTAGGCTGTGCCTCCTATAGGAGCATCCTCTCCAAACGTCAAGATGGCAACTGCAATTACATAACTGATGCAAATAGAAAGGGGATAGGATTCACATATATTGGAAGAAGGCGGGGCTTAGGAGTGAGAAGACGGAGTTTCAGGCTATTCCTGAAATTCCCCTATNCAAACCTCAATCTGCTGCAACAAATGCACTTTCATGAACAAACCTGATTCTTGATTCTTGAGCTTTTTGATGTAAAGGAGAACTTGACCCAGAGAAGATGGGTCTCACTCTTGTGGATCTATTATCAGTCACGGTTCTGAACTTTTGGTCCCCTGATTCCAAGGAGGTTGAGATGCTGTTACCTTTGTAGCATCTTTGGCCCAGGAATGAACCAATGAGAGAATCACAACTGGTACTAAGATGTGCCAAGAAATGTAATCTGCTTTAAGTCCAATGGAGGCTGACAGGAAGGAGGTGAGGACAGACAATGGATAGAAGTTCTTCAGGAAGCCTTCTTTGTTAATAGATCCAAGATCCCTGTTCCGAAAGCAGCTCTTTTTTTGCTTCATGTTAATGAATCCTGGCACCCTGTATGAAAATTATAACTGGAACCCATTTAAACAGGGGTCAACTAGTCTTAAATATACCAAGAACTCCAAAGAGTCTGAAACCGATTGAGGCCAAGTCCCCAGTTCCTCTACTTTTGTTGAAGCTTCTTTGGAACTACCTTCTGCTGGATATGTGTGAAGTTATCCATTTCATCTTGTCTGTTACACAGTTGATAGATTTCCCAGGCTGGCAACCTTCAACTGATAGTTAACCTGGAACTCAAAGTAATGATAATATTCAGTTGATGCTTGGGGAAAAAAAACCACATTTTGACGTCCTCTAAGTAGCACAGTGTGCTTTGCTTTGTATAATTTATAATATGGTAGACATGTGTCCGATGGGGGAAAGTTAAAAGGAAATTCAAAATGTACTTGTGGTCTTTGATGTTTTCCTGTAACTTGCCACATGCAAATCAAAGCCTTAGAGGTGATGAGGTTTTCTCTAAGGTCTAATCTGTGGCATGTCAGGAAGTTGAGCGAAGTGTGTGTATGTGTGTATATGAGAGTGTGCATGTACATTAAAGAAAAACAAAAAATTAACTTGCCTCTTCAAACCCCAGAACAAATCATTAACCCTTCGTAGAGTATATACCGCATTAGAAATACAAGCCATTGAAGTTGGCACTGAATTTCCATGTGTGCATATCCACAGTGATGACTTAATACCTTCATCCTAGGCTTTCCTGCACTGATCCCATTTCACTTGTTCAGACAGTCAGCCCAAGAACCAAAACAAAGGAACAACCCAACTTTTTTTATTCCATTCCTGGATCCAACCCAAGCACCGTTTTCTCCTTCTCTTTCTCTTTCCCAAAGGGACTTAAAGAAGAATCAGATCAGGGTAGACCAGTAAAAGAGGAAAGGGTTTTCTGCAGATAAATACTGTCACACTTCCCAGAATGTAAAATTAAGCCACAAGAACAAAACTGGCCTTCAGTCAGTTACAGTGTTGCTCATGTTTTGTTTTTTTGTCTGAGATCACAAACAAGATCATGTTTCAAAAGCAGCAAGGCAATCCTAGGACAAATATTGGGGTAGCAGGAAGATGCCGTCCAGAAGCTGAGCACATTAGGAGCTGGGAAAACAGGAAATGGCGGTATGGCCAGGCTGAACTCATTCTTCCAGCAGTCTTATATTCATTGTAAATATTCAGGTTGTTGTTAGTTGCGAAGTCGTGTCCGACCCATCACGACCCCATGGACAACATTCCTGTCCTCTACCATCCTCTGGAGTCCATTTAAACTCACACCTACTGCATTTAACCACTGTGCCACCTTGGCTCTTATTGTTTCCATCCAATGAGTGACATGGTATACATGTGGTTTCTGAACATTTTGTACCCAGATCTATACATTGAAAGTATCCAAGTTCCATCAGGGTAAAGCTTTTCTCTTTCCCAGGATTTAGTACAAATAAAACCAAGTACAGGTTTATATTGCAGGTCTCTAAAAAGCTGCGCACAACAGGCACCACATAAATACCACACACAGAGTAGCCGAAAGCACACACACTGCTAGAGAGAAGTTCCCAGAGGATGGGCTCCAATGGAGTCCAACAGCTCCGAAGACTAAACCTTTGGTCCCGTATAGGATGTCGAGTCATTGGAGCTCATATACTATATGTGTATGAAGATTTTATTCAGTGCTTGAAATGGGCCACAACAGTTGTGTTCCTACCAAGCCTTCTTTTTTCTATTTCCGAATTCGGCAGGTTTTCCTGCATGTATGATTATTATGTAAGTGGGCAAGAACTGCGTAGTAAGCTTGTTTTATTGTTTTGACTGACTTTCTCTGGGAATTTTCTAAACACTCAAATTCCTTCCTTTGTATTATTCCCTCCTTTAAATCTACTACGTGGATAGGCATTACCATGGATCTAAGTAAGTAACTAAGTTTATTATGGTCTTAGACCAGGATAAATCATGACTATTTCCCATTTTTTTTCCTGACCCAGCTTGGAGAAAGGCTGAGTGAAATTATCTTTGAAGAATTCAATTCCCCAGAATTTTCCTTATGCTCAAAAGTTGGGTGTGTTTTAAGGCAAATAGTAACCTTGCTTCATAGTTTAAATACAGGTGTGCCCCCCACTTATTCTTGACCTCTTGTCCTTTCCCCTGGCATTTCCTGATATACCGTCAATAAAATCATATGGTACATAGAGTCCAAGTTGGCCTTGGTGACACTACTGGGGGCAGGATTCCTGCATGATCTTTAAGAGGCATTGGCTCTCTTTGAAATTACTTTCTCTTATACATTCTAACCAGGCAGAAAGAGAGCAGACTCGATTTGCTTGCCGGGATCTATCCAATCAAGAGGTTTTGGCCCGCATACAGGAGGTAGTGAGCGCCCGCTTCCAAGCCATTGAACAGGAGTTTAAAAACGCGGATAGCACAAAAACAAATCTTGTGCCTAAAGAGGTCTTCAGAGATATCTGTAACCGACGGTTCTTGCTTCTAACTGATGAACAGGTGAGCAAAGTGGGAATTTATTTCCTTAGGATTCATTCCGCTCTCTCCCGGACAGAAAAATACTCAGCTAGGAAATATTGATATGGCCATGCCAAGGTACTTCTTTGTTTTACCTGTCTAAATAATGCATCTTCCCTTCTTTCAGTGCCTAGGAGAATCGCTTTTATGCAACTCAATACAGAAGTGATGAGTGGAAATGTTACAACATAGGTGTATATTCTTTCACGTTAAAAAAAATGTTCTCTTACTTAAAAGTGATAGCTGGTTTAACCCCTTGTGTGCAAAACTACTTGATTCTTATATACATTTTTATTAAAAGTTTTACAAAGAACCTAAAAACCAACACAATCTAATAATAATAATTTTAAAAAGACAAATGTACTGAAAGGAAAAAAAGTGAATAGGAAGAAGCTTCCAATTTCCTTTGAGGCATATGCAAGCACAATTACAATTGTCTTACTCTATGGTTACACCAAAGGGGCACTTTTTTCTATTATCCAGATTTTTTAAAATAATCATTGAAATCACATCATAAATGTGATGCAGGAGGGGGTGCACAGGTAAACCCACCAGTGGCTGGCCAGGTTAGGAGATCCTAATATGCTGAATACTATAAATCCTAATATGCTGAATATTATAAATTTATATTAGCTGACATTTCACTCTGGTGTACTGGAGTTCCAACTTTGACTTCTGACTTCCTCATAAGTATTAAAAATAGTGCTGGAACACTGTGGCAAGAGGCTGTAAAGGAGGGGCACAGAAAGCCAGGCATGGTTGAGAGATAGAACAGAGGTGAAACAGCTGATAGCTTAAGAACTTCTCTTTTTGTATTTTTCCTATGNGATGTAAACTTGTTTTTTAAAAGGCATCTTTGGTTTGCGTTAAAACAACTTCAACACAGGCAACGTTCTGTTTGCACCACAAACGCAGTAGTCATCCTTACCTTTCACAGAGGCACTGAGTTTTATAAATATGAGTATGATAGTATAGAATAATCCAAGGACCAATGGTGGGTTTCTCAAAATTTTGGAACCTCTTCTGTAGGTGAGGCCTGCTTTCCGGGTCCACTGGTGGAACCTCTTCTAACCAGTTTGGTACATTTGACGAACCGGTTCTCCCGAATAGGTGTGAACTGGTAAAAACCCACCTCTGCCCCCCTCCCAGTTTCAATGGCAGCCGAAAGCAAGCAGCATGAATTTCCTTTATCATAGAGAAGGTTTCTACCACCTCAGATGGTCGAGGGAACCTTGTTTTCTTGGTCTGTGTTAGCTGCTTGAGAAAATTAACCTTTGCTTGTCTCATCTATCGTGCCAAATGCCTGACTTTATATATGCTAATAGATTTGTTTCTGTGTGCTTAGTTTGAAAATCTCTGGAACACAGTACCTCTCGATCTGAGTGGGAAATTGAAATATTCTGGATTTTTGAGGAACTTCAGCTCTGAAGGAGGAGGAATGTCTGATATGACCAACGTGGATCCCAGCAAACCACCTTTGGGTGGTGAACCTGAATCACGGATTCCTTTACGACCCAAAACAGCAACCCAATCTCCAAAGAAGGTGAGTAGATCATGTCCTTCTTCTGATCTAGAAATGAGACTCAAACATTTGCTTTTTTCTTTGGCCATTTGGATGCCATCACAGAGCCATGGTGGTGCAGTGGTTAGAATGCAGTATTGCCGGCTAATTCTGCTGGCCGGCAGCAGTCCTTGAATTAATGTATAAATCATAAGATCAGACTGTGTTGACTACACCTGCACCCCACCCCCACCTGAGGTGTGGTCATAATGGACTCACATCAATCCCAGGCTACCACCAACTGCTCAGCAGAGCCTGTCCACATCCAGAGCAATAGCAATTGCACTTAGTACTGCTTCATCGTGTGGTGATTAAGTGATTTACAGAGTCCTTATATTGTCCTCAGCAAGTATGGCCCAACAGAGCCAAGGTGGCGCAGTGGTTAGGGTGCAGTACTGCAGGCCTCTTCAGCTGACTGCTATCGGCAGTTTGGCGGTTCAAATCTCACCGGCTCAAGGTTGACTCAGCCTTCCATCTTTCCGAGGTCGCTAAAATGAGGACTCTGTAAATCACTTAATCGCCACACGATGAAGCAGTACTAAGTGCAATTGCTATTGCTCTGGATGTGGACAGGCTCTGCTGAGCAGTTG